AAACAAAAAGAAGGCGGGGGGGGGGGGGGGAAAGAGTTAGAGACCAGTCTTGACAGATCTGTTTAAAAATTCAGGGACAGGGTGGAAGCCTTAGTGAGCTGTGGAGTGAAGGCTCTTTACGCTTTTCCTAAAAAGAATAGACGGCAACGCTAACAAGTTGCGACACACTGCATTGTTTCAAAGGAACACATCTTAACCCTTGTAAGGGGGGAAAGAAGCGGCTTGCTACAAATCTTTTGCAAGGCAGAGGGGGTACAGAGGGGGTAGCTAGAAAAGCAGACCCCTCTTAGAAAACCTGGAGTCATCAGCATCATCATGCACGGCAAACAATCTGTAATGCGCACAAAAGAGAGGCCCATCAATGGCTACTAGCCATGGCAAGGAAAGGGAACCTCCATATTCAGGGGCAGTCGACCTCTGAATGCCGGTGCCAGGAGGCAACATCAGGGGAAGGCCTCGGCCTCTGTGCTCTGTTTACTGGCCTCCTCCAGAGCAACTGGCTGGCCACTGCTTGAGACAGGATGCTGGACTAGATGGACCACTGGTCCTATCCAGCAGGGACCTTTCATTTGCTTCACAGGACCCTTTGAATTAATTGTTGGTGGGGGGCAGCCACTTGCCTGCTCACCTCGTAAGTTAACAAACTGCTTCCAGGTAACCAAGCTGGGGTTTTTTAAAAGGTACATTCAGGTGGGTAGCAGTGTTCCCTCTAAGCTAAGCCTCCAGCTCACACATTTTTGTCTTAGCTCAGGAAGAACGGCTCCAGAGCAAACTACTTGCTCACAACTTTAATGCCAGGAGCTCACAAAGTAGAAGACTCCACAGCTCAGAGGGAGCATTGGTAGGTAGCTGTGTTGGTCTGAAACAACAGAACAAAGTTTTGTGTCCAGTGGCACCTTTAAGACCAACAAAGTTTAATTCTGGGTATGCACATGAAAGCTTATACCCAGAATTAAACTTTGTTGGTCTTAAAGGTGCCACTGCACTCAAAACTTTGTTCTGTTTTTGTGTTTTTTTAGTTCGATTGGATGTGTTGTTTTTGCCCACAAATGAACAACAGGCACACCTAAGTAGTTAGGTAGGTAAGAAAAATATACGTTAAGTTTTACTTCCAAGGTTGAATTATTTGGGTTTTCTGAGGAGGATAAAACATCGAGGCCTGTGAGTTGGCAGGAGCACCAAACCTCTCAATGGGGCTGGTTCAAATGGGCCACACATTAAGGGTGGAGCTAGATTTGAGTCCAGACCAACAAGATTTCCAGGGTATAAGCGATCAAGACCCAAACTCTGTCAGGTACCACTTCGACTTGCCAAGAGACCTTGTTGGTCGAACCCTGGTCTTCTCATGCACACCAACACAGCTACCCACCTGAAATCTTACGGGTGGGTTATTGAGATCCAGGAAGGGCGTGGACCTCCAGAGGTTTCTGCCATACATGTTCCAGTTGGCAGCTGCCCCCCCTTGGTTCCCATTTGTGTTCATTTCAAACCAACCCTTCCTTATTTGCAGCCTGCAAAAGGTGCCTCTCTTTTTTTTAGAGCCAAAGTTCAAGATCCTGACCTACAGCTGAATAGAAGCGGTGTTGCCTTCCAGCATCAATGCCTTCTCCTTGCCCACACCCTGCAATGAAACCAGGAGGGCCTTACACGTCATACATCAGCATTAAAGGTAAAGGTTTCCCTTGCTCGAAAGCCAGTCGAGTCCGACTCTAGGGTTGCGATGCTCATCTCCGTTACAAAGCCAAAGAGCCAGCACTGTCCGAAGACGTTTCCGTGGTCATGTGGCCGGCATGACTAAACACCAAGGCGCCCGGAACGCTGTTCCCTTCCCACCGAAGTGGTCCCTATTTATCTACTTGCAATTTCTTGCTTTCGAACTGCTAGGTTGGCAGCATAGCCACCTTTAAAAAAAATTGTGGCTGATATGCTCCTCTGCTTTCAGGGTAGTCCAGAAATTAAGCTTCCCACACACACACACACACGGTTTCCCCAAGCACTTAATCGCCGTCTCAGGAAATGGTTAACCTGCTAAAATATGTACTGTGAGGTTGACAAGAGCGGGACCAGTTTGGTTTTTTTGGGTGGGTGGGTGGGTTTAAAGTTGACCAAGATGCAAACTTCTCACAGCAAAAGGAGCTATTTGAAGCAAATCCTCCTTTCCTCCCCTTACAACAAAACAAGCCTATGTTGCCCCCCCCCCTGCCATCCGCTGCCAAAAGAAAAGCAAATCTGAAAGGGGGGGGGGAGGGAGGGAGCGTCTCTCCTGGCCAGGCCCTCCTGAGAGCTGCCTCTGTTTAATTTCAGCAGCGATCTTGGCAGGAATTGGGGGGAGACTTCCAAAACTGCCGCAAACAAGTCTGAAACTTTCCCCCTTCTTTGCCGCGCGAAGCTTCCCAACGCCGCCCCGTCTTTGCAGAGCCCATTCCGGACGCGCAGGAAGAAGAGTGGGTCGTCGCCCCCCACCCCCCAATTTTTTTAAAAAGTCCAGCTTGGGAGCGGCAAGCAATGAAGGGGTTGCGCGCAGAGGACTGGAAACTTGGGTTTCCCACCACCCGGAAAAGGGGATCGCCTCTCTCTCTCTGCATCCCCCCCCCATCTTTCAGATGCCTCCCCCCACCCTGCAAACCTTTTGCAACTTCTCCTCTCCAAGACGCCCCCCATACTCACATCTTCCATAGCTGGGAGGGCGGCCAGCGGGCACCGCGCCCCTCCTGCCGGCTTCCTCCTCCGCCGCCCCCTCCCCAAAGCGCGTCCGCTGCTTCCTCCGGAGCTGGCTCTCCCCCTTCAAGCGCCTCCGGGCTGCCGCCTCCGAAGCGCGTCCGCTGCTTACTCCGGAGCTGGCTCTCCCCCTTCAAGCGCCTCCGGGCTGCCGCCTCCGCTCCGCCTCTCGCCTCCCCCTCCTCCCCCGGCAGGCTGCGGGCAGAGGCTCCTCCGACATGCCGCCTCTCTCTCGGGATGCTCCGGAGCGGGCGAACTTTCCCCGGCGCCCCAAAGCAACTTCGCCGCCAGCCCAGCGCCTCGGCGGCGGCAAAAAGCGGCTGGGTGGTTTCCGGCCCGGGAGGAGGAGGAGGAGGAGGAGAAGCCCGCGCCGGCCCCGGCCGCCCAGAAGGGGAAGAGAGTCTCCCCCCGCCTTCCTCTTCCTTCCGCCCGCCGCCCAACCGGGGTGGGATCAAGGTCTGGGCTGCTGCAGCCCGCGTCACGAGGGAGCCCCAAATCCGCGCCTTGAGGCTTCCTCCGAGCAAGGCTCTGCCCCTGGCACTGCCACCACCCCCTCTGTGGAGTGGTGGCACTGCTCCCTTGGCCCGCACCAGTCTCTGCCTCAGCTGCACCGCTGAGCGGGAGCCAGCTCTGCAAGGCTGCTGTGAGGATTCAACAGAGGAGGGGAAACAGCCGGGAACTCACCGGAGGGATCCAGGCCCCCTGGTCTCATTGACCTTGCCGGGTGGTTGGGCGAATACGATGGGGGACGGAGGAATCCTAGTGCTTGTGGGGTGGTCTCTGGGCTGCCGTTCTGCACCTCCCCGCAGCCTACCTGGCAAGACTGTTGTGAGAATTAAATGGAAAAGGGCAGGGGTCATTTCGTAGAAAAAGAGCTAGGGGGACTCATTAGCATAACTCATTAGCATATGCCACACCCCCTGACATCACCGGAAGTGTGTCCTCCCCACAGTCAGCGGCGACCTCCAGTGGGCACCAGCAGGGAGCTCCAGGCCCCGCCCTCCCGCACCTCACCCGGGGGGATGGCGTCCCCCGCATCCCCCCCCCAAATGACCCCTGGAAAAGGGGAACACGAAGAAACTCGCTGGGTGATCCCAATCATCAGGGCCAGCTCGCTCACTAGGCAAACTAGGCATTTGCCTAGAGCGCCGTCCTTAGGGGTGCCAAACTGCACCTGCCCCCCCAAAAGCCCCCCTACCCAGCAGTGGCCCATTCCTGCGACCTGCCAGCCCATGGGAGGCTCTGCCGGCAGGAGCGGGGAAAGGCGCTGGGCGGCTGGGCGAGGCAGCAGCCGGGCAAAGTGGGTCAGTCGGTGCGGAAATCCTCTGGCTGGTGGTGACAGCAGCACCCAAGGGAGGGCAGCAGCCCTTACCAGTACGGGGTGTGTGTGCACGGGGGTGGTGGTGCCAGAAGGGATCCTCCCCTAGGGTGCAAAATAAGCTGGGGCCGGCCCTGCCAATCATCCCCGCTTGATCTACCTCACAGGGTTGTTGTGAAGATAAAGTGAACGAGGGAAGAACTGTGTATTCCACCCTGAGCTGTTGGGGCAGGATAAAAATACACTCAATAAAAATAACATACCGGGTTGCAGGAATTAATTGCATGGCAGGCAAAGGTCCAACTGGTCATGCGTCCATCATCCATGTATACATGGCTGCTCATTCCAGAGGGGAATAAAGCATGGATGTTGTGATTAGAGAGTGGGGCTAGTACTTAGGAGACCGAGGTTCAAATGCCCACTTTGCCAAGACAGCTTGTTGGCTGACCTTGGGCCGCTGGTCCCACTTGGGAGAATCATAGAATCATAGTTGGAAGGGACCTCCGGCAAGGTTCCCTCTAAGCTGTGGAATCCTGTGAGCAAAAATTCTACTTGGTGAGCTCCTGGTATTAAAGTTGTGAGCGAGCGATTTGGCTGCTGCATGAATTAGTTTGCTCTGAAGCCCTCCTTCCTGAGCTAAGACAAAAATCTGTGAGCCGGAGGCTAAAAAACTGTGAGCTAGCTCACATTAACTCAGCTTAGAGGGAACACTGACCTCCGGAGTCATCGGGTCCAACCCTAGAGAGATCCACACATGTCGGGAGATCTTACTCCAGCGCACTAACCACTACACCACACTGGCTGTGCATGTTCTAAGTGGCATGTACTCATTTCACGTACAACTCATTTCAGTGTACAAAGGGTCTTGTTGGGGGGGGGGGAGGCATGCTGGCCAACTCAGAAGCTTGATACAATAAGAGGATTTTGGGATGTTTGCTCAGCTAAGGGAAGGCACTCCAGTCCCATGATTGGGAGAGACCAAAACGATCACGGGTCCAGAGCACCTTGCCTGCGCTGCAAGACTAGAGCTTCTGGTGATTTTATTTTTTTTTGCTTTGGAAGAAACAGTCACCCGCAGGGTGGTGTGCTAAAGAGGTTCTACAAAAATGATGCACGGCGCAAGAGGAAGTGGATTGACCTGAACTTTTCTCTCTGCCTCCTATTCTACTAGAACTTGGAGTCATCCTGTGAAAAGGTGGGCAGCAGATAGGGAACACTTTCCCTATGAGGAAAGATTAAAGCGCTTAGGGCTCTTTAGCTTGGAGAAACGACGACTGAGGGGTGACATGATCGAGGTTTATAAGATTATGCATGGGAAAGAGCAGGTAGAGAAAGAGGTGCTTTTCTCCCTTTCTCACAATACAAGAACTCGTGGGCACTCCATGAAATTGCTGAGCAGTCAGGTTAGAACGGATAAAAGGAAGTACTTCTTCACCCAAAGAGTGATTAACACATGGAATTCACTGCCACAGGAAGTGGTGGCGGCTACAAGCATGGATGGCTTCAAAAGGGAATTAGATAGGCATATGGAGCAGAGGTCCATCAGTGGCTATTAGCCACAAGGTATAGATAGGGGCTCTGGGGCAATTGATGCTCTGTCTTCTTGGTGCTTGGGGGGGGGGTCAACAGTGGGAGGGCTTCTACTGTCCTGGCCCCACTGGTGGACCTCCTGGTGGCACCTGGTATTTCTGGCCACTGTGTGATACAGAGTGTCGGACTGGGTGGGCCAGTAGCCTGATCCAACATTGGCACTTGGAACACTTGGAATTCACTGCCACAGGAAGTGGTGGCGGCTACAAGCATGGACGGCTTCAAAAGGGAATTAGATAGACATATGGAGCAGAGGTCCATCAGTGACTATTAGCCACAAGGTATAGATAGGGGCTCTGGGGCAAGTGATGCTCTGTCTTCTTGGTGCTGGGGGGGATCAAAAGTGGGAGGGCTTCTAATGTCCTGGCCCCATTGGTGGACCTCCTGACGGCACTGGTATTTCTGGCCACTGTGTGACGCAGAGTGTTCGAGTGGATGGGCCTTTGGCCTGAGCCAATA